TTCCCTGTGACCCGACAATTCTAGGAAATGCTCTCGTGGGCCTCAGGACCACATGCGAAGAAAATGACTGCGACATCCGTTTATAGAGTTAAGTTGGAAATAACCCACATGTTCTTTATAAGGAAAAGGATGAGTTATAGTGTATATAAACAGGAGGATAAAACATGGCATGTATTTTTTTTGTTTGGGGGTCATACCCCGCAGTGCTCAGAGCTTACTCCCGGCTCTGTGTTCCAGAATCACTCCTTGCAGGGTTCAGGGTACCATGAGGGATACTGGGGGTTGAACTCAGGTCAGCCGCATGCAGGGCGGGCAGTACTATCACTCCAACTCTGCTAAAACGTTTCCAGTGCTTAGTTTGTGTCTTTAGTGCGGGGGGTGGAACCCAGCCTCGTGCATCAAGCCTTGAGCTTTGCTGCTGGGCCACGCCGTTGGCCCCAAACAGGGCACGTAAACTGAGCGAGTCGATTTAGAAGTATCGCCTCAGTCAATTTCACACACGTCATTGGGTGAAAAAATGGAGTTGCAGAACAGCACCTTCCCTGTCAGTTATGTCGATTATAAAAACACATTCGTGTCAGAGATGAATTCTTGTATAAACAAGGCAATGAAATAAGACCCGCGAAGGAAAACTATGAAGAAAAGTGTGTCTGGAGATGAGAGTGAGAACTTGATGGAGAAGCACAGAGCGGGCCTTTCTGGATAGCATTCTGCTTTCTTGCTTTCTTTCTTTCTTTTTTTTTTTTTTTTTTTTTTTTGCTTTTTGGGTCACACCCGGCGATGCTCAGGGGTCACTCCTGGCTCTGCACTCAGGAACTACCCCTGGTGGTGCTCAGGGGACCATACGGGATGCTGGGAATCGAACCTGGGTTGGCCGCATGCAAGGCAAATGCCCTACCCGCTGTGCTATTGCTCCAGCCCCTCTGCTTCCTTTCTTGAGGACAGACAGGTCTGAGGCAGAGACCAGATGTTCGAGTGTGGTCCGCGGATTTAGACTTTTCCATGGCCATAATGTGGCTTTTCAGTAGAGACACACCCAGGAGATCCTGCCGGGGCCCAGGCCCGGATAGTGGGAAACCGCTTAAAGCAGGTATGAACAGGAAGCAGGTGGCGTGAGTTTTTGTGGGTTTCCAGTGTGTATAGAAGTCAGGGTTGCACTCCACTGACATTCATTAACTGTGCTCTAAAGCACCATTTCTGCAAAGACAATGCAGGCCTTAATTTAGAAACTGTTACTGAAAAGTAGTGGAGGCAAGGTGACAGCCACATGCTTTGACTCGGGGTTACCAGAAACGTGCTATAAACATTGAAGTTATTCTAGAGCAGCTTGTCTATGGAGCACGGTGAGAGGAGGGAGCCTGGCAGGGCCTAGGACAGAGCAGGTGCGGTCTGAGGGGGGCTGTCCAGCGCCTCTGCTGACCTTTGTGATTGGGCCTTAGTGTCTCTGCCTCCTTCTGACTGGCCGCCTGGCCACTGCATCCGGGGCCTGCCACGTCCCGGCTCCATGACATGTCAGTGTCCCAGGATTCCCCCCAGGTCCGTGGATCTTTGCCATGAGGTGAACATTGCCGCTTCCAGCTCTCTGCCGAGCATCCAGACACTTGCCATGTTCCCGTGGCCCTTGGGGACCCTGAATGCACCCAGTTCCCAGCGTGTTCCCGCCTCTCCGTGCACACGACACGCTTCTGTGGCCAGATGCTCCCAGAGCCCGAGCTGAGGCAGAGAGGAGTTATTTTGAGGGCCCTAATTTCATTTCGTTATCTCAGGCGATCAAAGAGTGTTTAACACCAGGAATAGCTGAGTAGGGCAGCTGCTATCACAGCACTTTGTGTGGGGAGCGATGAGAGATTCAGTATTTTGACATCCGTTTCAGAGGTGCGCATAATAAGGCTTCTAAGAAAATCCCGACGGCTGCTTTTTTCTTTTCCTTTCCTTTCTTTCTTTCTTTCTTTTTTGATTCTCTCTCTAGACCACACCTTTGTGTTTGGTGTAGAGGTGGCAAATGGCAGATGTGTCCCCCTTGACTCCCCCTTGACTCCCCCTTGACATCCATCATGCCCAAGTGGGGAAGCGTTTTTCTGCAAAGCAGTTGACACTGATGGCACCTTTTGGGGTCACACACCACTGACAGATGGCCACAGGCAGCCAGTGAGAAGCACCCGGCTCCTGTCATGCACCAGGGCCAGGTCACACAGTTTTTCGGCCAGACAAATGTAAGGCCAGACATTTCTGGCCCTGGGACCTTCAGGCCACCACCTCCTATTCAGACTTTGAGACCCCACTTACCACTCCATTCCTCAAACATGTTCCGGGACTTACTCACCTCCGGGAGAAGCGCAGGACCCCACAGCTCTAAGGAGGCAACAATCTGAGCACTCAGCACAGAGCCCTAATCTGGAGCAAGGAGAAGCAGAACAAGCCAAAGTGTGTGCTTCATCGTGTGTGTGCGCGTGTGTGTGAGTGTGTGTGTGTGTGTGCGCGCGCACGTGTGTATGAAGCAAAATAGTTTTTTTTTTCTTTTTGGGGTCACACCCAGTGATGCACAGGGGTTACTCCTGGCTCTGCACTCAGGAGTTACTCCTGGTGGTGCTCAGGGAACCATATGGGATGCTGGGAATCGAACCCGGGTCAGCCGCTGCAAGGCAAACACCCTACCCGCTGTGCTATCACTCCAGCCCTGAAGCAAAATAGTTTTATCAAAAGAAATTTACTTAAAGAAATGTGAGGATAGAGAAAGAGAAATGTGTATTCCAGAGAGAGCTTAGACTTTTTTTTTTCCTTTTTGGGTCACACCCCGGCAATGCTCAGGGGTTACTCCTGGCTCTGCACTCAGGAATTATCCCTGGCGGGTCTCAGGGGACCATATGGGATGCCGGGGATTGAACCCAGGTTGGCTGCGTGCAAGGCAAGCACCCTACCTGCTGTACTCTCGCTCCAGAATTTAGATTTTTTTTTTTTTTTTTTTTTTTTGCAGAGTGGAAAAGGCCCAGCCTGTGATTTCATGTAAATTCCCCATTTTTTCAGGAAGCAGTGAGGGAGACCAGGGCTCCATGCGCTGGTTCTTTGGGACCAATCTGTGTGGCTTCTGAAGGCAGAAGTGGGTGGCCTCCCTGCAGCCGCAGTGACCATCAGGAAACACAGGCTTCAGTGAGTGAAAACGAATTCACTAGTTTGCTCTGGCCTGCAGGGGATACATGTCAAACGAAACCCTCAGCACCCGCTGTGTTCCAGACTACCCAGGGGCCCCCGCCCTGAGGCTCATGGATGGACCTTGGTGGTTCTGGAGGTGGAGCTGAATGGAAGCGCTGGAAATTCCAGGGCCTGTCCACACCACGGAGCTGGTGGTAGTTGAGTTGGACCCAGACCCGCCCTTCTGAACCCCATGTGACTTGGTTTCCACCCCCCCCTCCTGCAAGAACCCAGGCTGCCCATGCAGAAGGAGGAGCGAGTAACCCTGACCACTTATTCTTGCGTGTGACCTAAGCAGAACCTCAAAACCACACACGGGGGTGGGGGGTGCCCATTTAAGAAGAACCCGGGGTTCACACTTAAGGGAACTTGGCCAGGAGCCTGCTCTGGGCCTTCATGGAGCCAGGGGCCTGGCCTACTGCTCACAGGGGTGGCCCCCAGCCTTCATTCCAGCCTCTCACCCCCGAGTCCTCTGGGAACGATCTTGAGGTAGGGATGGTGCCCCGAAACCATCCAGGTCCTTTTCCCTGAGATTCAGCCACTGAGACCTGTTTGGGTCCTTCCGAGTCCCATTTCCATGCTCTCTGGCCGGTGGCTGTGGAATCACTGGGGGCCATTGTCATCGGGAGTTCTCTGACGTGTCCTGGTCATGGTGTTCGCTCCCCTGCCTGGGGGAACGTGCGTGCTTGCCGATCCCCGTCTCTGGTGTCTGATGCCGACTCGCTGGGGAGGGTGTGGGCACTGGATCGAAGGTGACAGCTGCCTAGCCGGCCAGGATCGGCGTGTATACTTTGCCTCTGTGTGAGCTGTCTCCAGGGTGGACGCCCAACAGAAAGTAGCTCCTTAGTCCAAAAACCAAATGGGTCTGTCTGCTGGGAACAAACAGGAGACAGAGCAGATGTGTTCACACATCTGGACCATGTGCTCTGAATCGAGGCTGACAACCCTCCAGTACCTGTGAGGGAAACCCCCTGCCTCCCCCCACACACACAGACTCTCTCTCTCTCTCTCTCTCTCTCTCTCTCTCTCTCTCTCTCTCTCTCTCTCTCTTTCTCTCTCACCTCCCGTGGTAGATACAAGGCACATGGTGATGGTGGTGATGGTGGGGTCAGTGTTGGCATATGCGTGTATAAATCTCTTTGCAACCCACCTCATTCACAAGAGCCTGTATACACGGGTTCCACCTGGGCCTTTGCTGTCCCGCAGGTGATGGGCTGAATTCTCCCGTCGGCTCTTAAAGTTCGTCGGAGTCGCCTGGGGTTAGGTTGAGGGGAGGACCTTGGAGGTTCTCTCGAAGAGCGCTCAGCCTGGCATTCCCGCAGCCTGGTCCCTGGTTTCAGACAGGAGTCCGGTGTGGAGGCGGGCAGGCCGGTGCCTGAGGACTCGGCACTGAGAGGCGGCTTCTCCGCCTGCTGGGCAGCCCCACCCGCCTGCCCTGGGCTGGGGACCTCTGTCTAGCTCAGTGGCGTGCTGCCTGGGTGGGTTGAGCACAGTGCTGAGCCGAGGATGAAAATAACGTGGACCCCGACCCTCAGCCTGGAGCTCGTGCTTCGTTCAGTTGAACTAGGGATTTGTTTTCTTGGTGACCTGGCATCCGAGTGCAGACTCCTCCCTGGGTGTGAAGCGGGCACTAAGATGCCCCTGGCTCGCTGCGCTGACCTCCTGGCCTGGACTCCAACAGGGCCAGGGCTCCCTGGGGCGCAGGCTCTGGGAGACGGCCTGAGAGTGGTTCCACAGAAGGACCACGGCCTCGGGTCCGAGCTGGAAGCCCTGGTCAACACTAACCCACTCCTCCCCGTCTCGCTCCTCAGGGCTCCTGGTGGGGACTCTCGATGTCGTGTTGGACTCCAGTGCCCGGGCCGCCCCATACCGGATCCTCTACCAAACCCCGGATTCCTTGGTCTACTGGACCATCGCCTGCGGTGAGTAGCGGAGGTCGGACACGTCGGGGGAGGGGAGGGATGTCTCCTCCCTGTACTGCGGCCCTTGGTCTTAGAGGGCAGTTCTCTGCTGAGCCTGAGGTCCCTGAGAATGAGCACAGTGGGAGCTTCCTTGTCTCCATGCTGAAGGTGACCTCCAGCTCTACTGACCCCCTGGGGACACCAAGCCTGAAAGGTCTGTGGCTCGGGAGGGCAGGAGAGTCAGAGCTGCACAGGGCTTTGACCCGGAAGTGCTACGTCACTTCCTTTCTCCCGTGACTAGCTCTCTGGCTGCGAGCTATGGCAAGGCAGCTGAGAAGTGGGGGGCGTGCATTAGGCAGGACTTGGTAGGCCTAAGCAGGCTTTCTTGGAGAGACCCCCCAGGGGTAAGCCCTGAGCACGGAGTCAGCTCTGGAGTCAGCTCTGAGCATAGAGCCAGGAGTGAGCCCTGAGTACAGAGCCAGAAGTCAGTCCTGAGCACAGAGCCAGGAGTGAGCCCTGAGTACAGAGCCAGAAGTCAGTCCTGAGCACAGAGCCGGGAGTGAACCCTGAGCACAGAGCTGGGTGTCAGCCCTGCACACAGAGCCCCTGATTATATTCCTGGGCACTCAGTGGCATCCCTACCTGCCATCTGCTCAGGAGCCCCAAGTGGCACCTGATGGCAGGGTACCCCGCTGTGTGCTGGCATCTTGGTGGCATTCTGCACGGGCATGGATCATTGTCCAGCTGTGATTTCAGCCTCCTGGACACTGTTGCCTCGGGGTGCATCCCAGAGGGGTCCGTGGCACCCCTGCTTCTGACATGGGAGCTGTAAAGCCCTTGAAGTTATTCTGACCAAGACAAGATGCCAAGGGCCACATGTGACCAGGGAACACACTTGTCATGGTGAGGGGGGCTGGATTCCGGGTTCCAGAAATGGGTGGGGGGCTAGGGGGTCTAGGACAAAGGAAAAGGGACTGTGCCCCCCAAAAGTCACCTCATCCTCATCCTCCTCCGCCTCCTCCTCCTCCTCCATCACTCCCCAGTTCCTGAATAAACTCTTGCCCACCTGTAGGCACACACCTCTAGGCACATCATGTGCACCTGTGCTCACCTGTGCCCAGCTGTATGCCCCTAGTGTACACTTTTATGTCCCTGTATTCACCTGTGCCCACCCGTGCCCAGATGTATGCACCTATTCCACTTCTTGGCATGTCGTGAGCCCTGTATGCCCCATGCCCCCTGTTGCAGTGGTACGGGTTCCTCTTGCTGAGAAGAAATGCCCTGGGAGCTGTTTGGACCAGAGTCATAGCACAGCGGGGAGGGCATTTGCCTTGCCTACAACTGACCCAGGTTCGATATCCAGCATCCCCTATGGTCCCCTGAGCACCATCACCATCACCAATCACTAGGAGTGATTCCTGAGTGCAGAGCCAGGAGTCACCACTTAGCATCGTTGGGTGTGTCCCAAAAAGCCAAAAAACAAAAAGTCATTTTGTTGGCCGACAGTCTAGAAGAGAAGTGGACAGATCATAGTGCCGGAAAAACAGAGAGCCCCGCTGGTCCCGGAACCAGGTGATGCTTAGGGGCCCGTGAGGGGCTGAGAACCTGAACCTGGTCACTTTTGTGGGGGGTCACACTTTGGGGGGTTCTGAGGCTACTCGTGGCTCTGAACTGAGTGCTTGGGGCACCGGGCAGCACTGGGACCCAGCCCCAGACCTCTGGCACGAAGGGGTTGCGCTCTGCCCCGTGAGCCCACCCCCAGCTCCCCACACCCCTCCCAGGACCAGGACCAGGACCAGGCTCTGGCGACCCTTGTCGTGCCTCTTGGCCATGAAGGGCCAGAGAAGCCTAGTTTGGTTCCTCTGATACGTGTGAGCCTCTCTGCGGAAGCTGCAGCTGAGGGATCACACAGTGGCCATCTGGAGTGGCCGCCTGGCGCCAGCCTTGCTGCCAGATCATCCAGATAACGCCAGCTGTGTGTCCTCTCCAGCCGAGTCTGGGAGTCGCCGCCGGGTGCTGGACAATGCGACCCTTCCCTTCGGCTCCACGGGCCTCTCAAGCACCCCTTTTCCTGGGAGAGCTCTGGCAAGCGGGTCGTTTTTTCTGGGCGCGGGGAGAACAGCGGTGGCTTTGTCCGTCCCGCGGGGCCAGCATGTCCCATCTCGCTCTGGCCTCTGTCTGGGGCTTGAGCTGCGCGTGGCCACGTTGGTGGCTGAAGTTGTGTGACAATGAGGCTGTAAGGCCGGTGATTCCTTCTGGTCACTTCCAGCCTGGTTCACAGGAGGAGCAGGATCAGCGCAGGGTCCAACCGGCCTCCTCTGGCACCCGAGAGCACCGGCGTGGGTGCTTCTTGCCCCTGAGAGGCCTGCCGGGTGGGTTCTGCTCTGGTTTCATTCTTGCATGCCCGCGCGAGTGCAGACTGCCCCTGCGCCACACACACCGGGGGCCGAGAGTTTACCTTCCTGGTCATTCCCAAATCGGGGGTTTTTATAGCAGTACAGCAGTGAGAACCCAAATGCATAATTAATCATGCATCGGAAAGGGATATCGCCTAATGGAACTGGGACTGGAGCGATCATGGGGAGGGGAGGGCACTGGTCTTGCCCTCTAATGGTCGACCCGGATTTGAGTGGTCGACACCAGATCCCTGGGCACAGAGCCAGGAATAAGCCTTGAGCACAGTTGGGTGTAAGCCAAGCTCCCTGCCCACTCCCCAAAACTTATCTGTCCCGGGGGCCTTTGTTATTTTTGGGGGGTACTCAGTGGTGCCCATTAGCTACTCTTGGCAGTTTTGGGGGGAAATGGGGTGCAAGGCTGAGACTAGGGGTTCCTGCATCTAAATCTTGCTGTGGCTCCTTGGACCTTCTCTGCAGCTCTTTTTTTCTTTTTTTAATTTTATTGAATCACCGTGAGAAAGTTACAAGCTTTCATGTTTGGGTTACAATCACACAATGATCAAACACCCATCCCTCCACCAGTGCACATTTCCCACCACCAATATCCCTGGTATACCCCTCCTTTCCCACCCTCCCCCTGACTCCATGGAAGACAATATTCCCCATACTCTCTCTCTCTACTTTTGGGTATTATGACCCAAGGACATTATGATACAAGGGCCAGGAGGATTGCCCCCTAGCTGGAAGCCTGCCTTATGAGCAAAGGGGAGAAGGCAACTGGAATAGAGAGGGGATCACTAAGAAAATGGTGGCTGGAGGAACCGGTTGCGATGGGAGATGTGTGCAGAAAGTAGATAATGGACCAAACATGATGACCTCTCGGTGTCTGTATTGCAAACCTTCTCTGCGGCTCTTAAGACATTTTTCATCTGTTTTAAAACATTTGAAACTGTATTCAAATACTGTGACTTACAGAGTTGTTCATAGTCCAGTTATCTCAGGTATTCAACATTCCCAACACCAATCCCACGACCTGAGTGACCGTCCCTCCACCAACTGTCCCCAGTGCCTGCTTCTCATCCCCCCAAGACTGTCCCCTCCGCAGACAGAAAGCAATGGATTTTATACTGCTTGTTAGAACACATATCTCACAGTGGTGCACTGAAGTCCTTGTCCAAGAATTTACTGAGTTTTGGTGCTTGTTGAGCTTTCTGTGTTACTGTTTTTGCTCAGTGAGCCTAGGGGGCTTCTACGCAGCTTTGCCATCTAATTTGCTGTGTGCCTGCCTACAAGTCTGTGGGCACAGTGGGGTTTGGAGGTGTCCTATGCGGCCACACTCCAGGAGCTGTGGACGGGGATGATTCAGCAGCCCAGCTTCACAGATGAGCCATTTATATGCTGGAGGATGTAGGTCGCGGGAGGGGGACCTGGCGAGGGGCGGGGGGTGGGTTCCTGGGTCTTTCAGCAGGGCCCACCCCTGTACAGAGAAGGTTCCAGAGATCTCAGCCCAGAGACGGCCTGCCTGGGGTGCCTCCGTGGTGCCTCCCCGACTTAAGCATTTTTTTTAATCCAGAGAGGATAGAATCAATTTGTGCTCCTTTACGGTGCTCCCCCCTTCTTTTTCTTTTTTTTTGGGGGGGGTCACACCCGGCGATACACAGTGCTTACTCCTGGCTCTGCACTCAGGAATTACTCCTGATGGTGCTCTGGGGACCATATGGGATACGGCGATCAAGCTTGGGTCAGCCTCGTTCAAGACAATCCCACCCTCCCCGCTTTGCCTCCCTTTTTATCATCATGCAGATTTTGATGAACTTTAAGATCCGTTTCAAACCACTTGACAAATGAGACGAGGAGAATGCTGTGTTTCCTATGGCTCATAGAAGAGAACGTTTCTATTTTTACCCAGATGGAAGACTAAGGCTGTGGCTAGTAGTTTTTAGCTTCTTTTGTTATCATTTAGGTAACCGGTTGCAGTAGCATTGAGGTGCTGATGTTACAAAACCCCCACAACCCACTCCCCCAAAGGCCTGGCTGCTGGTGTTAGAAGAAGACACCTCACCCCTCCACCCCCCACGTTCTGAGATAAAGATGCTCCATCCTCCAGAGTGAGGGGAGCGTCTAGCCCAGGTGGCCTCTCGTCTGGGCCCCTGAAGAGGCCTCCTCACACCTGCCCAGTGTCACCCGCCCACCCACCCAGTGGGGTCCCCTTGGCTGCCTCCGGATGGGCCATGGCAGGAAATCCCGCTGTGGCACTGAGTCCCGGGTCCACCGTCCTGGGGAGTATCTGACACTTCCCTGTTAGCAGCAGAAGCAAAGGCCCAGACCACTGTCCTGTGGTCTCTGCCACCCCGGAGACCCCCGTCCCGGGAGAACAGCTGCTGGGGGTAGGTGTGCCCGGAGACCAGGTTTGGGTGATGCCTGTGGGGCGAGGGCCAGGTGTGGGCACATCTGTATGTGATGCGGGGAGGGGAGTGCAAGGCTGACTCCTGGGGGGGGGGGGGGGCTTTCCTCCCCAGAAGTGTGAGGAGGGGGTGCAGAGGAGCCCGGCCCCAGGACCTGGGGACTTTTGCAGCCCCCTGCACTGGCCAAATCGGGGAAACTGAGAAAGCCGACTGGGGGCTGGGGTCTCTGGCACAGGGCCCTGCCCTGGCCTCCAGCATGGGCTGGCTGGCCTATGCTGACTGTCATAGCTGACCACAGGGGTGAGCTAAACCCACACAGTCTAAGGCCTGTGTGTGTGTGTGTGTGTGTGTGTGTGTGTGTGTGTGTGTGTATTTGGGGCACCCCCATCCGCGCTCAGGGCTTATTCCAAGCAGGGCTATGGGACCAGAAGCAGTGCCGGGATGGAACGGGAGCTGAGGGTGAGCAAACAGGTCAAGCCCTGTGCTGTCTCTCGGACCCCAGCCCAGATTTCAGGTGGGACCCACTCCACACTGTCTCTCCTTCCCCTAAGGTCAGGCCTCTCCGCAGTCTCTCCTCTGTGGCAGCTGGGCACTGGCTCTGCTTCCCAAGGATGCCGTGTCCTTTACACATCCTGTCCTGACACGGTTCCCTCTGTGATTGGTACATTGCCCTGAGCCCGGGAGGTTTCATCTTTCATTTGTTTCTTTTCATTGAGAAGAATCTGAGACTGAGGCTCAACCCACCGTCTGGCGTTCCTCCCCGCTGGGGATGGAGGGGAGAGGCCCATAGGGCTGACCAGAGCTGAGTCCCGGACTTGGGCTCTGGCACCCGGGACCCTGGGCTGCAGATGGCCCAACCCTGTTCCGGCCTGTCAGCACTTCTCACTGTGCAGATGCCGCCAGGGAGGGTCGGGATGTGTTTTTCCCTGTGAGGCCTCATTGTTTCCTTTTGGGGCCACTTTCTTTCTTTCATTTTTTTTTTTATTGAATCACTGTGAGATACAGTTACAAGCCTTCATGTTTGAGTTTCAGTCACACAATGATCAAACACCCATCCCTCTACCAGTGCACGTTCTCCACCACCAATGCCCCCCATATGCCCCCCCTTCCAGCCCTCCTCCTGCCTCCATGGCAGACAATTTCCCCCATTCTCTCTCTCTACTTTGGGCACTGTGGTTTGCAATACAGGTGCTGAGAGGCTATCACGTTTGATCCTTTATCTAATTTCAGCACACGTCTCCCATCCCAAACAAACCCTCCAATCATCATTGACTTAGTGATCCCTTCTCTATTCCAGCTGCCTTCTCCCCCAGCTCATGAGGCAGGCTTCCAACTATGGAGCAATATTCCTGGCCCTTGTATCTACTCTCCATGGGTGTTGTTTTCATACTATGTTATTTTATATTCCACAAATGAGTGCAGTCCTTTTATGTCTATCCCTCTCTTTCTGATTCATTTCACTTAGCATGATACTTTCGATGTCCACCCACTTATAAGTAAATTTCATGACTTCGTCTTTCCTAACAGCTGCATAGTATTCCCTTGTGTAGATGTACCAAAGTTTCTTTAACCAATTGTCTGTTCTCGGGGACTCAAGATGTTTCTAGATTCTGGTTATTGTATACAATGCTGCAATGAACATACTAATTTTTGAACATAATGAACATAATAATTTTTATTAGTGAAACACCATGAGGTACAGTTGTAGACTTACAATTTTTTTTTGCTTGAGTTTCAATTATACAATGATGTCATTTCTACTGTGCTTTTTTGCACCCTCAGAACATATTCTCGGGGCCACTTTCGACTGTCCTGAGACCTTACTCCTGGCTCTTGCGCTCAGGGATCAAACCCAGTTCAGCAAGTGCAAAACAGATGCCTCCTCACTGTGCTGTTGCTCCAGCCCCTCAAGCCTATGTGGACAGGTGGGGTCCCGGGCAGACACTGTGGTCCCAGCCTCCATCCCGCATCTAGGGGCTGGGAGAAGCCTGTCCTCACTGCTGAGAGCAGACAGTGATGACCCTTTGTTGCGTGTGGTTTGGGGGCCACTCCCAGTGATGCTCAGGGCTCTGTCCTCTGGGGGTCTGGGGACCATATACGGTGCAGGGGATGGAACTTGAGTCAGCAATTGGCCGGCAAGCGCGAGGCGAGTGTGCTGCCTGTGGTGGCTATGCTGCAGGGATGACCCCACCCCACTGTCTCTCTGCACCTTCCCTGGGACACTGGGGAGAGCACTGGGCCACCCTGTCTCGTCCTCCCCAGCCCGTCGGGGCAGCTTCCTGGGGTGCTGTGTCGGGGAGGCCACCCCTGTCGTTCCCAGCCTGAGCACATCCACCTCGTGTCCCCAGGCCGCTTGACAGCCCCACAGCTGCCCCCGATGTGGCTTAACCACCTCAACTTGGCTGACGACAAGGCCTGTGTCACCTGATCAGGTCACGGAGGGCCCAGGACAACTGGGAAGGAGTTGGACCCTGAGCCAGTCTCTGGGCGGGCATCCCCTCGGTTCCGCTCCTCCAGGGCTGAGAACCAGCCGTCCTGACGCTACTGCCATCTCCCACACCCCTGCAGGAGGCTCCCGGAAGGAGATAACGGAGCACTGGGAGTGGCTAGAACAGAACCTCCTGCAGACTCTTTCCATCTTCGAGAATGAGAACGATGTCACCACCTTCGTGAGGGGCAAGATACAGGTAGGGCCGCCCGCGGCTTTGGATTGGATAGATTTCTTGCTTTCTTTGGGTTGGGGGTTCTTTCCTCAGGGCTGCTTTCTGTCTCTATGCTCGGGGGTCCCCGCTGGCAGGGCTCAGGGGACCATATTGGGTGCTGGGGATCAAGGCACATGCTCTGCCCACTGCACCATCCCTTTGGCCCCACGTGCTGCCCCTTCCTCTCTGGTTTGGTTTCCAAAAACACATTCAGTGGGCAGACAGACATTCAGACATTGCAACTCAGCTTTGCCAATTTTTATTTATTTATTTATTTATTTATTATTGAATCACTGTGAGATGCAGTTACAAGCTTTCATGTTTGATTTTCAGTCACACAATGATCAAACACCCATCCCTCCACCAGTGCGCATTCCCTACCACCAACGTCCCCAGTTGATACTCCCCCTTTCCAACCCTCCTCCTGTCTCCGTGGCAGACAGTTTTCCCCATACTCTCTCTCTACTTTTGGGCATATGGTTGGCAAGAATCAGCCATTTTTTAAAAAATTTTTATTAGTGAAACACCATAAGGTACAGTTGTAGACTTACAAATTTTTGTGCTTGGGTTTCAATTATACAATGATCAAGTACTCATCCTTCCACCAGTGCTCATTTTCCCATTTGACCCAGCAATACCACTCCAGGGAATATATCCCAGAGAGTCAAAAATGTATAGTCGAAGTGACACCTGCACTTGTTTGTTCAATGCAGCACTCTTTACAAAAGCCAGAATCTGGAAAAAGCCTGAGTGCCCGAGAACGTATGACTGGTTAAAGAAACTTTGGTACATCTACACAATGGAGTACTATGTAGCTGTTAGAAAAGAATCAGCCATTCTTGACTTCGTTTTCATTACCGGGAAAGTGTCAGGTGTCGTTGCCCTGCGGCAGTTAGGAGGAAGTGCAGTCACTCTGCGGCCCTGAGAGGGATGGTGAGGCACATGGTTCTGTTGTGGTTGGTGCCACCTCAACATTGGGAGGTCCAGTAGGCCTGTCTCTTTTACGCTTGGGACATCTAGGGGGTTAAGGTCCCTCATCATTGGCCATGGGGGTGAATGACATTTTCAGTCAATAAACTTAGTTCTCACCCCAGAACTAAATAAGTTTAGTTTTCAGCCCCTGTGCCGTGAGGGTGAAGTCCTCTGGCTGGTGCCGTCTTCCCAATGTGGAAACGGGGCCAGGCTCTGGAGTTTGTAGGATTTTAGACTCCTGGGGTACAGGGCCACAGGGACGGGGAGCCCCAGTGCTGGGGTGCCTCGCAGCGACCACAGCATCATCACTAATGGAAGGGTATGTTCAGCAGAAGGAAGGGTGGTCTCAAATGTTCGGCATCTAGACAGATCCCATCCCGGGGCTGGTAGGGACCTATTGAGAGTTTTTGATGACCAGGATGATGGAGTGATTTTCAAAAGACAGGGGTGTGTGTGTGTGTGTGTGTGTGTGTGTGTGTGTGTGTGTGTCCCCTAGGGAGGGACTAGGAGCCCAGGTGGGAATCGCGGGAGCAGGCAGTTCCCCTTTCCTCCTATCCAGCCCTGTTTGGGAGAAGCTGGAGTTTCCCCCATGGGGTCTGAGCCTAGAATTCGCTCTGAGGACCACATGTCCCAGCGTAACCTGGGAACAGAGAAGAGATGAGCATGGGGGACTGAGGAGTCAGAGTCAGAGTAGATTGAGGAACACTGTGTTAGGAGATGTTAGCACATCATGACACCGTCCCTCCCTCCAGCCTTGGTCCAGTATCCAGGGACCTGCTCACCAAACTCCCATTCCCAGGCAGTCATGAGGACCCTGATAATCACAAAACGGGAGCCAGAGGAGAGGTACAGTGCACTGATGCTTGGACTGACTGACCCAGCCTCTGTCTCCTGCACCCTGGATGGTGCCCTGAGCACAGAGCCCTGAGCACTGCTGGGTGTGACCCCGCCCCCATCCCCGAAACAACAACAGCAGTGATCAAGTCCTTTCCTACACTCCAGTTCCTTAAACAGTAGGATAAACCACCTCTGGCTCTATAGACGTGCCCAAAATTTCTGTCCAACCAACCCCCGGTCCAGTCTCTCATCTGTGTGTTTCTCCTCTTCCCCCTCTTGCTGTTCCAGCGGTGTTGCTTCCTCTTCTCTGGGTCCCCTGGGGTGACTGTCACCACGTGACTGACTTCTGTCCTGGTCTGTCTTTCCTCCCTCATCTAGTTACCAGGAATTTGGTGACGTTGAACTCGTGAAAGGAGTGAAACAGTCTCTCTACATTTCTTTGTAAAATAAAAACTGTGGGTCTGGTTCAGAGTGACCTTAGCAAAGGTCCCCCCAATGCACTATGTTGTCGTCTGTATGGAGTGGAAGCCCCCAGAACACAGTGTTACCATCTATATAGAGTGGAAACCCCCCAGTACATGGTTTTACACTCTGTATGGAGTGGAAGCACCCCAGTTCACAGTGTTATCGTCTATATGGAGTGGGAGCCCCCCAGCACACAGTGTTACCCTCTGTATGGAGTGGAAGCCCCCCAGTACTTGGTGTTACCCTCCGTAGGGAGTGGAAGCCCCACCCCAGTTCACAGTCTTACCATCTGTAGTGTTACCATCGCAAACCCTCAGGACACAGGCGCCCTTAGCTAACTGGCTCAGAATTGGGGCGTGGGGTATCTGGAGGAACTTCAATGAAACTTTCTTTTGTTCCAGCCCTAGACATGGTTCTCTCCCTTCACCGTGTCTCCAGCATACAGAGGGCAGTGCCAGGTTCTGCTGTGAGCAGTCATATGTTGTGTTTATCCCCACCAGGGCATCATCGCTGAGTATAACAAGATCAACGACGTGAAGGAGGACGATGACACGGAGAAATTTAAGGAGGCCATCGTGAAGTTCCACCGGCTCTTCGGGATGCCAGAGGAGGAGAAGCTCGTCAACTATTACTCCTGCAGCTACTGGAAGGGCAAGGTGCCCCGGCAAGGCTGGATGTACCTCAGCATCAACCACCTCTGCTTCTACTCCTTCCTGATGGGGAGGGAAGGTGAGCTGTGGGCAGCCCGCTGAGGCTGACGTCATCGGGACAGCAGGCGCCCACCCGCCGTCACCGCCGGCTCAGCTGTGCGATGACTGCCCAACCTGCCACGGTGTTTTGAACCATTTAACAAAAGAGTTCAGTTATTTAAGTTCCATATTGGTTCAAATATACAGAGGTAGACATAGATTAGGTAAGAAAGTTTTTTGCTAAAGGCATGCCAAAATGAATAGATGGCGACTTACATCCTTCAGAACTTAATTTTGGTGCCTCTTAGAACCAATAAACCAGGGACGGAGCAATAATAACACAGGATCAAGGTACTTGTTTTGCATGTAGCCAATCCTGGTTTGATGCCCTTACATAGACGGTCCCCTGAGCCCTACCAGGAGTCAGTCATAAGCTGTGATCCAAAAATACACCCCCTCAAAAAAAATAGGGTGGCTGGAGAAATATCACAGCTATTGGCTCGCAACCAGCTGATCCAGGCTCTATCCCCAAAACCCCGTATGGTCCCCTGGACCCCGCTAGGAGTGACCCCTGAGCACCAGAAGTAAGTCCTGAAACAGCTGGATGTTGCTGGGAAAAAATATAATATATATACATACATATATATATATATATATATATATATATTTCCAGCAAGGGCTGGAGAGAGAGGACAGTAGGCAGGGAACTTGCACACAGCCCACCGGGGTTTGATCCCTGCATCCCAATGTTCCATAAGCACAATTGGGAGTGATTCCTGAGTGCAGAGCCAAGAGGAAGCCCCAAGTATCGCTGGCCATGGCCCCCAGACAGACAGAAAGCGCCATCAGTGACCCGTCATGGACAGTGGGGGCCTGGCACGGGAGACCTCCCGGGAGCTAGGGGTGGCTGTGAGCGGGCGCCTCTGACCGGCCGTGTTCCCTGTGGCAGCCAAGCTGGTGGTGCGCTGGGTGGACATCACGCAGCTGGAGAAGAACGCCACGCTGCTGCTGCCGGACGGGGTGAAGGTGAGCACACGCTCCAGTGAGCACTTCTTCTCCGTCTTCCTCAACATCAACGAGACCTTCCAGCTGATGGAGCAGCTCGCCAACATCGCCATGCGGCAGCTGCTGGACAACGAGGGCTTCGAGCAGGACCGCTCGCTGCCCAAGCTGAAGAGGAAGTCGCCCAAGAAGGTGTCGGCGCTGAAGCGGTAGGTGGGGGCACCTGCGTGCAGCCAGGCGAGACTGCTGGGTCCCCGATCGTGCACGGAGCGAGCAGACAGACGGGAATCCGGGTTTGGGGACCCCTGGAGCCAAGGGGGCAGAGGGCGGCCCGGCGGGTGATGAAGAGAGAGGTGGGCGGGGCAGTGCACGCCTCACACACAGCAGGGCCAGCAGGGGAGAGGCGACCGGCAGCCGGGCCAGTGTGGCCGGGCTCCACCAGGGGTGCTCGCTGCTCCAGAGGGACACGGCGGCTGGGGAGAGATGAGCAGGAGCCCCGTGGGTCCCTGTGTGGATCACATCGAACTGACTCATCTACTGGACGTCTGTGGGCAGGCAGGTACTGCAGGAGATGGACAGGTCTCGGTGACCTGTTCAAGATAGGTGGGCGCAGCCACGAGAAGCGGGCAGCCGGACTCGGCGCCTGTCAGGACAGTGCATGGCCGGGGATGGAGGGGAGCTTGAGAGGGTGAAGGGTCCAGCGGGGCTGGACAGAGAAAGGCAGAGGCTCGAGGCGGAGTGAAGATCCCAAGAAAAGGCATCACTGGGCTGGAGCCATAGGAAGCGAGAGGGTGTGTGCCTTGCATGCAGCTGATTCGGGTTCGATCCCTGACGCCCCATATGGTCCCCCAAGCACCGCCAAGAGTGACTCCTGAGTGCAGAGCCAGGAGGAGGCCTCCCAAACAAGGCATTTAGCAGCGCTGTCTCGAGGCAGGGAAAAGCAGGCCTGTGGGTGCCAAGGGAACCCCCTTGAAGTGGCGGGAAGGAAGAGGAGGTGAGAAAGGAAGGAAGACGAGGTGAGGGTGGAAGAAATGAGGGAAGAGGTAGAGATGGAAGAGAAAGTGAGGGGAGGAAGGAAGCGGAGGCGAGAAAGGAGGAAAGAAGAGGTGGGGGAAGGAAGAAGAGGTGAGGGGGGAGGGGAGAAGAGGCAAGTGGGTAGGGGAGAGGCAGTGAGGGAGGAGGGAAGAAGAGGTGAGGAGGGAGGGAGAGGAGATGAGGAGTGGAGGGGAGAGGAGGCAAGGGAATCTGGGTGGACTGCATGGGTGGGAGGGGCAGGCCAGGAGCCCCTGCTGCGGCCCCGGGGAAGGCCTGGCCACCGTGTCCTGGAGGCTGAGCCCGGCCCTTGCCCCGCCAGTGACCTGGACGCCCGGGCCAAGAGCGAGCGCTACCGCGCCCTGTTCCGGCTGCCCAAGGACGAGAAGCTGGACGGCCACACGGACTGCACCCTCTGGACGCCCTTCAACAAGATGCACATCCTGGGCCAGATGTTCGTGTCCACCAACTACATCTGCTTCACCAGCAAGGAGGAGCAGCTCTGCAGCCTCATCATCCCACTGCGCGAGGTGGGCAGGCGGCTGCCTGGCCAAACTCCAGGCCCACCCCGGGCTCCCCTCTCAGGAATCACTCTGGGTGGGCTTGGGGGACCCAGGTGAGGGGGCGGGGTTCCGGGGATCGGCCTTAGTCCAGTTTGTCCAAACCTGCCTCGTTTCAGCAGAGAAACACCCCTCCCTGCCCACCTCCACAGGACAGGGGTGGTCTGCCCAGTGTGTGGGACCCGCGGGCGGCCGGGGTCAGCCCCTGTTGTCGTACGGCACAGGTGACCATCGTGGAGAAGGCCGACAGCTCCAGCGTGCTCCCCAGCCCCTTGTCCATCAGCACCCGGAACCGGATGACCTTCCTGTTCGCCAACCTGAAGGACAGAGACTTCCTGGTGCAGCGCATCTCGGACTTCCTGCAGCTGACCACCTCCAAGATCTACTCGGACCGGGAGTTGGCAGGCAGCTGCAACAGCTCCGACGATGAGGTCTGTGGGTAGCGGCCACGGCCCCTGGCCATCCCGCTCAAGCCCCAGCCCTTGGGTTTGATCGTGCTGGGCACAGGGGCCTGGACTGGGCGGTGTCTGGTCAGTGCCCCCTGTAGGTGGGGTCACAGGGTCAAGCCTCCCTGGTACTCTGGGTTTGCTCTTCCACCCTGAAACAGTGACGTGATTCTGGTTCCCAGGGAGGGCTGTCGGGGCTGGCCCAGAGGCGCCTGGCTGATAAGCCGCGGCCCACAAACACTCGGCCCTGGAATGTTGTGACAGAGAAATACACGCCATGAGCCTGTTGGATGGGCTTGAGCAATAGCACAGCGAGTAGGGCGTTTGACTTGCATGCAGCCGGCCCAGCCAAGCCGGGTTCGATTCCTCCGTCCCTCTCGGAGAGCGCGGCAAGCTACCGAGAGTATCTCGCCAGCATGGCAAAGCCTGGCAAGCTACCCGTGATGTATTCGATATGCCAGACACAGTAACAACAAGTCTCACAATGGAGATGTTACTGGGCCCGCTTGAACAAATCAATGAACAACAGGAGGACAGTGTTTGTGTTTGAGCCTGTTGGATTGGACCCGAAACCAAATGCACAGGGAAACGGAGGTCCCGTGGGTCTCACTTAAGCAGTAGGCAAACGCCTGGTGGCTAAAATAGTTCACAGGGATGTGATGGCCAGCCCCTACTCCTGTCCCCAGCTCTCCGCCCGGGCGGGCATTTTTGAGGCATCAGAATCCTAAGAGAGGGTCAGGACAGTAGGGAGCCATTTACCACGCCTGGGGGAGGTGGTAGCCGTGACCCTTCTTCTATGCCCTGAACACCGCCAGGGGGCGCTCCTGAGCGCGAAGCCAGGAATAGCCCCTGAGCATAGCCAGGTGTGGCCCCCACAAGAAAACAAAACTATGGAAAGCTTTACTTAAATTCTACCCATCTCCCACCCAGCCCAGCAAAATCAGGATATTTCAAAGTTTTTTTTTTTTTAAATGCATATAGTTTGCACCCAAAGTGACAGTTGTGCTTTTTTACAAAAGGCTCTAACAGTGCTTCTGTTTTATGGAAAAACACAATCTCTGTTCCTAAAAATCTCCCCTCCCCAAAGCAAAAATGCTCACCCGTCCCGATGAGCGCCAGTTTCCATCCCAGGGGCAATTGCTCAGATTTCAGATTGACTTAAATCACTCCTAAGGGAACCAACTTTATCCCCCGCCACAAAAAAAAAAAAAATAAGGGAAGGAAGAAAGGGAGGGATGAAAGGAGGGAGGGAGGGAGGGGGGGGGGGAGGGAAGGAAGGAAGGAAGGAAGGAAGGAAGGAAGGAAGGAAGGAAGGAAGGGAGAAAGGAAAGAAGGAAGGAAGGAAGGAAGGAAGGAAGGAAGGAAGGAAGGAAGGAAGGGAGAAAGGAAAGAAGGAAGGAAGGAAGGAAGGAAGGAAGGAAGGAAGACAGGAAGGAAGGCAGGAAGGAAGGAAGGAAGGAAGGAAGGAAGGAAGGAAGACAGGAAGGAAGGCAGGAAGGAAGGAAGGAAGGATGGAAGGAAGGAAGGAAGGGAGGGAGGGAGGGAGGGAGGAAGGCAGGCAGGCAGGCAGGCAGGGAGGGAGGGAGGGAGGAAGGAAGGAAGGAAGGAAGGAAGGAAGGAAGGAAGGAAGGAAGGAAGACAGGAAGGAAGGCAGGAAGGAAGGAAGGAAGACAGGAAGGAAGGCAGGAAGGCAGGAAGGAAGGAAGGAAGGAAGGAAGGAAGGAAGGAAGGAAGGAAGGAAGGAAGACAGGAAGGAAGGCAGGAAGGAAGGAAGGAAGGAAGGAAGGAAGGAAGACAGGAAGGAAGGCAGGAAGGAAGGAAGGAAGGAAGACCCAGAGGGTCCCTCCGGCCGCCCACACCAGGCCGAGCATCTTGTGCAGACGCACGTGAGCGTGGAGAGCACCAGGCTGTGCCTCTGCCCGGCCAGCAGCCTCGTGTCCTCCCGTCTTGTGCCCGACGTGCAGGTGTACTCGCGGTCCAGCAGCCTCCTGTCCTCCAGCCCGCAGAGGAGCTCGGGGTCCGAGGCCGATGGCGAGCGCCAGTTCAACCTCAACGGCAACAGCGTCCCCACCGCTACGCAGGCCCTGATGACCATGTACCGGCGCCGGTCCCCCGAGGAGTTCAACCCTAAGCTGGTGCGTGCCACCCACTGCCCCTACGGTCGGTCAGATGGCGTCGACGGAGCAGGAGCATGGGGCCCCGGGTCCCACCCACCGAGCCAGGAGCGAGCCTTGAGCACCGCCGGTGTGGCCCCCAAACAGACACCAAAGAGAGCCCAAACGCAACCCCAAATCCTCCCCTAGCCGTCCCCCGGAGCCCGTGTTCCTCAGGGAAAGTAAGTTTGTCTCCTGGGCCCCCTCGACCTCTCATGTCTCAGTCTGACGTGCAGCTGAGATAAGCACGAGAGACCCCATCCACCTCCTGGGTCCTCTCTTTTTTTTTTTTTTTTGCTTTTTGTTTTTTGGACCCCGGCGGTGCACAGGGGTCACTCTTGGCTCTGTACTCAGGAGTCATTCCTGGTGGTGCTTGGGGGACCATATGGGATGCTGGGAATCGAACCCAGGTCAGCCGTGTGCAAGGCAAATGCCCTCCCCGCTATCGCTCCAGCCCCTCCTCGGTCCTGTTCTAAATGTGGTTTCTGGACTCGCTCAACACAGGAGCCTGAGCTCTCGTTCCCTGTTGCCGGAGGGAACCTGCTTTCCATCAGAGGTATAGACATGCAGCCTCTGCCTCAGTGACCCCTGTGTACCGCTTGGGCCCAGGGTCAGAACCTGCTCGCAGGCTTCTGCCTCCTGCCACCCCAGCTCAGGCGAGCGGGTTCTGACCCTGGTCCCAACGCGCCCCACAGACCCACAGGTCCGCCGAACTGCCCTTGGCCTCTCAGTCTCCCCGCCGGGGTCCGTGTCCATGACGTATGTGTTGGGACATGACCCGCCCCGTGACGGAAAGGGATGCAGTTCCTTGCTGCTCCACAGTCCCCCCACGCGCTGGACTTGGTGACGCGAGCGCCTTTCTCTCCTTCAGGCCAAGGAGTTCCTGAAGGAGCAGGCGTGGAAGATCCACTTCGCCGAGTACGGCCAAGGCATCTGCATGTACCGCACGGAGAAGACGCGGGAGCTGGTGCTGCGGGGCGTCCCCGAGAGCATGCGGGGTGACCTCTGGCTGCTGCTCTCGGGTACGACCCGGCTGCCGGCTCACGGCTGCGGCCCCTGCACCCGGGGCCCTGCAGCTTCCCGCACAGGCTTTTGGGGAAAGGAAGTGGGGGGAAGCCATAGATCTGGGGTTGCTCCCTTCCTCCCCCCTCCCCAAGGTGCTCATCCCAAGGTACAGAGACAAGGAAGGGGCCTGCCCAGCTCTGACCTTTGCTACCTCACTGGTTGCCCCCACCCCCACCCCGAGATGCAGACAAGAAGCCAGGATGCACACGAGGCCCAGAGGCAGCCCACAGTTCCGACCTTCCCTCTTGCAGACCTGGGCCCCGCCCTGCCCCGCCCCGCCCCAGCCCTGCAAACGGCCCTTTTCCTGTTCTGCCAGGAAATGCCCACATGAAAGGGGACTGGAGCTCCTTGTGGGCGTTTGTTGCTTTCTTGTTTGTTTTTTTGGGCCACACCCAGAGGTGTCCAGGGTTTATTCCTGACTCTGCCCATTGGGGCGTCACTCCTGGCAGGGCTTAGAGAACCATCGAGGCTGCCAGGGATGGAACCCGGGTCGGCCGTGTGCAAGGCAGACGCCCTCCCCATTGTGCTATGTCTTTGGGCCCCACCACTTGTGGTTCTATTTTATTTTATTTTTTGCTATTGGGGCTACACCCGGTGATGCTCAGGGGTTAGTCCTGGCTTTGCACTAAAGAATCACTCCTGGGGATCGAACCCGGATCAGCCGCATGCAAGGCGAATGCCCTCTTCACTGGTTTTATTGCTCTGGCCCTGACTTGTGGTTTTAAAGGCTCCCCGTGGACAGCCCCCGCTGGGTGCCAGGGGTGCTCCCCGTGGAGGTGGCGCTTCCACTGTATGACAGAGCCGCTCGGTGTTGCAGGGGCCATCAACGAGAAGGCCACGCACCCCGGCTACTACGAGGACCTGGTGGAGAGGTCCATGGGCAAGTACAACCTGGCCACGGAGGAGATTGAGCGGGACCTGCACCGCTCCCTCCCCGAGCACCCCGCCTTCCAGAACGAGATGGGCATCGCGGCCCTGCGCAGGGTCCTGACCGCCTACGCCTTCCGCAACCCCAGCATTGGGTACTGCCAGGTGAGCCCCAAGGGCACAGTCGGGGGGGGGGGGAACAGTCACCCTCAGGGCAGTGGCCCCATGTGGCCATCCTGGCTCGGGGACATCAACACGTGTTGGCATCTGTGAACCACTGCATGTTCCCCGGGGGCAGATCTCCCCCCCCCCGGGGGGCAGAGGAGACCCCACTCAGCCTCGGGACAGGTGCACCCCACTTGCCCCCATGCAGCCAGGGGCCTCGGACAGTCCCAGTCTGCCACTGACCCCACTGACCCCACTCAGCCTTCCCTGCCGTGCAGGAGTCACCAGCCTGCCACGTTCTGGGCTCCTGGTGTCCCTGCTGCTGCCTCATGGGCAGCCGGAGGGAGGGAGGGAGGGAGGGAGAGAGGGAGAGTTGAGTGTGTGTGTGTGTGTATGTTTGTGCGCGTGTAAGTGCTTGTGTGTATGTGTGCATGTGAGTGTGTGTGCATGTGTCTGTGTGTGAGTATACATGTGCATGTGTGTATGTGTGCGTGCATGTGTCTGTGTGCATGTGTGTGCATGCGTGTGTGTCTGTGTGTATGTGCATGTGTTTGTGTGTGAGTGTGTATATGTGTGCATGTGCGTGTGTGTGTGTGTGTGTGTGTGTGCACATGCATGAGCCTGCACTGACATCAGTGCTGTATCAGCTGGGAAGAGGGTTGTCTCTGTTCCTGCACCCACAGGCCACAGTGTGGGATGTTCCTGTAATCCGACTTTTGACTTAAAGACTGCGGGCCCTTTCTGTTCTCTCTCTCTCTCTCTCTCTCTCTCTCTCTGACTCTCTCCACACACACACGAATACACACACACACACACACACCCCTACGCTCACACACACTCACATACTGTTACACACACTCACACACACAACTCTTACACAAAAACGTACACATTTTCATACACATACACACACTCACATGCACATATACTCTCACACATACACACTCTCACACACATACACTCTCACACTGATAGTAACACACACTCAGTTTCACATATACACTCACTCTTGCATATACTCACATACCTACTCTCACCCATTCACATACATACTCTTACACACACGCACACACATATACTCTCTCATACACACATCCACACACAGAGACATGCACTCACACACACTCTCACGCTGAAACACATACTCTCATACACACCTGCACACACAGACTCACACACACACACATACACACACTCTTCACACACTCTCATATTGACATATGCTCTCTCATACACACATGCACACACACAGACACACACACACACACACACATGAAAGGTGCAGATCACTCTAATTCTTACAGTGGCTTCTGTTGCAAAGCAGACCTGGGTAGAGCCGGGAGGTCGAGGGCCCTGGCCTGGCTGACCCCATAAACTCTGACACAAGCATGCGCAAGTACTGCTTGATTTAAATTTTGGAAGTGACCAGGGGCTTCTCCGACTCTGCTCAGGGCTTGCCTCGTCAGTGCCTCACTCTGTCCCCACTCTCTGGCCTCCCATCGTCACGTTAGTCATGACTGCACATGGGGAGAGACTAAGTCTCACAAGAAAATGCCTATTAGGCCCAAATTCCTTTCTGACATTTCTGTCGGAGGAGTCTGACGCAGTAACTGGTTTCTAGAAGATCAAAAGACATACAAGAGTCGGTTGGCTGCCGCCACAATGGCGTTTTCTCGTTTATCTTGTGATCTTCCTCCTTTTAATTAAGAGGACTATTAAGGGAGCCGGGCCTTGAGCGATTAGGGGCTCCCTGATAATATCTTTAATAAAGCGGGTTATGTAGGTTATGCAAGTCCCTTATTGCTCCCCTCCTTCTCCGGGTGGAAATAATGGGCAAGAGAGAGTTGCAGCTTTGAAAGGTTCCATTGTTCTCTCAGCCCAGCTCCAGACCTCACAGAGGCCTGGGAGGAGGGTGCAGACACCTCACGGAGTTCAGGCTCGAGAACTTTTACAGTTTACCTGCCGCACGGCTGCCTGCTGCCTTTGGGCAGGGTTTTGTTTTGCCTGGGGACGGGTGAGGGCCTTGGAAAATATTGGCCTTCTGAGGCAGCCTCGGTTTCAGGGTCCCATGGTTTTTTGGGGAGGGATTGGTTGTTTTTCTGTTTGTTTGGGAGGGGTTTCACACCCAGCAATACTGGGGCTTTCCTCCAGGTTCTGCACTCAGGAATCACTCTGGTGGTGTTCAGGGGACCAGAAGGGGTGCCAGGGATCAAACCTGGGGGTATAAGAGATTGAACCCAGCTTGACTGCATGCAGAGCTAACACCCTACCCACTGTACTTTCCCTCCGTTCTAGTCTGCACGTTTTTGAAAGGCTAAAGACCAGCCCAAACGCACAAGGTGTGTGTGTGTGTGTGTGTGTGTGTGTGTGTGTGTGTGTGTGTGTGTGTAGCCTGGGAAACCTTTCGAGAGTTGTCACCGGGCTCTACCCATGTCCCATGCCGGCCGACCGGCCACTCAGCCCTGGCCTTGGCGCCTTCTCTCACCCACGCAGGCCATGAACATCGTGACGTCGGTGCTGCTGCTGTACGCCAAGGAGGAGGAGGCCTTCTGGTTGCTGGTGGCGCTGTGCGAGCGCATGCTGCCCGACTACTACAACACCAGGGTGGTCGGTAGGTGCCTGCACGACACTCCCTCCTAGTGGGTCAGAGAAGGCTGGGCAGACAGAAGAGAGACCTTGGGGAGCCCATGGGAACCTCGGGAATATACGTGTCACCACCAGCCAGTGATGTGGAAACCATTTGGCCGGCCGTGGCCCACAGCACTGTGCCAGAGAACAGGGTTTGTAGAGAGCTGTTCAGAGACCCTTTGGGGAGGATAAAAGAGCCTGGAGGGGTCCCCAGAGCCGAGTTTCTGAGGAGACACCCAGACATGGCTCCAGGCCGCAGTAGACGCTTCCTGTGAGCACTCAGATGATTCCCACAGCTGCTGTGCAGGGGCCTCAGTGCACAGCTCAGCCTTCATAGTCACTGGTGTTGTGAGAAGGCATGTGTCTAGTGTCAGAGAAGGCACGTGTGACATACGCCATGAGGAGGCATGATGTGTGACATGTGTTAGAAGCGTGTGTGACACGTGTCATAAGGTGTGTGACGAATGAAAAAAGTCTTGTGACACGTGTCATAAAAAAGGCCGTGTGACACATGTAAGGTGTGTGACATGTGTTATAAGGTGTGTGCGACACATGAAAGAAGGTGCATGTGACACAAGTCTTGAGGAGGCTAGTGACAAATGTTACAGGGATGTGTGACACATGTTGTAAGAAGTGTGACATGGAAGGTGTGTGACATGTCATGTGGTGTGCGCAACACATGAAAGAAGACACATGTAACACAGGTCTAGAGAAGGCATGTGTGACACATGTAAGAAGCATGTGTGACACATGTCATAAGAAGGTGGTGAAACACATGCAAGAAGCGTGTGTGTGACGTGTCACAGCTGTGTATGACACGTGTGAGGAGGCATGTGTGACACAGGTCGTAAGAAGCATGTCGTAAGAATGCTGGGTGACACATGTAAGGTATATGACACGTCTCATAAGAAGGCGTGTTTGTGTCCCAAGTCAGAAGGCATGTGACAGGTCACAGGGAGGGTACCTGTGGCTGCCGCTGTGGTTGTGTCTTGTAGGGTGTGAGCCTTTGCCTGCCACTGCAATTCACTGGCAGTGTTCTCCAGAAGTTTCAGTCCATGGTCAGGAGTGGATGCAGCCGGAGCGCTTGGTGGCCCCAAAACTGTTGTTTTCTTATAAGTACCATGTGTGCCCGATAGGCATTTTCTTCCCGACCAGGCACAAGTGGCCGACAGGACCATGATTATCATCTGTCAGGGGCCATTTGGGATGGACCTGTCGCCCTGGACACTGTGTGGTGTGGCCCACGCCCCCCTTGTCCCTCCCAGCCATTCTGGTCATTCAGGGCATGCCAGCCAGGGTCACTGTCAGGACGCAGTTTCCCCTAGAGGCCAGGAGCCCTGTGGCTAGAAGGGCGTCGAGGAGGAGGGAAGGTGGGAGGGCAGGCAGGTGGGTGGGCGGGGCCTTTTCAGGAGGCCAAGCGAGAGGTGCATTGTCTCAGGGCAACATGTGGCCTCCCCAGAAGATGGGCTCCTTCTGCTGCCCTTCCAGACTGCAGGGAGGTGCCCGCCGTGGGCCCTCGGGCTCTTGGGAGAGTGTTGGCTCCACTCTGGGCTGTGAAGGGGAGAGACAAGGCACTGCCTGGGTTTGCTGGTCTGCTGAGGGCCACACCAGGGGGCCGCAGGCTGCTCCTGCACAAGGGAGCTCATGATCAGGAGGGGCAGAAAGGGGAAGCCCAGAAGAAGGCAGGGCCAGAGTGGACTGAGTGACCCGTGGCTGCATCAGGATGGAGGAGATAGGGGGAAGAGGAAGAGTGGGGGAAGGGGTGGACAAAGGCAGAGAGAGGTTAGCAGAGGAGGGGAGAGGGGGGCAGAGGTAGGCAGAGATGAAGAGAGAGGTGGAGAGAGAGGTGGGCAGAGGCAAAGAGAGGCGGGCAGAGGCAGCACCCCTTGGGCACCCCCAAGTCAGGTGGGGACTGTGCCCGCAGGAGCGCTGGTGGACCAGGGCGTGTTCGAGGCGCTGGCCCGGGACCACGTGCCTCAGCTGTACGACTGCATGCAGGACCTGGGCGTCATCTCCACCATCTCGCTGTCCTGGTTCCTCACGCTTTTCCTCAGCGTCATGCCCTTCGAGAGTGCCGTGGTGGTGGTCGACTGCTTCTTCTACGAGGGCATCAAGGTCATCTTCCAGCTGGCCCTGGCCGTGCTGGACGCCAACGTGGACAAGCTGCTCCACTGCAAGGACGACGGGGAGGCCATGACCGTCCTGGGGAGGTGCGGTCTCCACTGGCCCATGGCCCACCTGCCCGTCTCGGGGGTCACAGGCTTTCGTGGTTTGGTGGCCACTTGCACTCTGCCAAGGAGCGATTTTCAGACACTGTCCATATATGTTGAGGGTTTTTGCGTTCTTTGTTTTTATTTTTCTCTTTTTGCCATTGAATCTTATCTTTTGTGTTTTTTTAGGGAGGGAGGGGGATCTCCCAGCTATGCTCATGCGCCCCAGCCATGATTTCCCACCATCCAGGCCACTGCTTGGGCCCTGACGGTTCTGGGGGCTGTGCCCAGCGATGTTCTGGGTCCACATTGTGCTGAGGTGGAGCTGCAAGGCCTGTGCCTCAGCCCCAGACTTTCTCTTGGCCTCTTCAGTCTTGCTTCACTTTGTATTTTGTTTGAGTGCTGCCCCAACAGTGCTCGGAAGCATTTCCTGACTCTGTGCTCAGAGGTGACATCTGGCAGTGCTCAGGACATCCAGGGCCAGGCATGCACCCTGCCCCCTGCGCTGTCCCTGTGGCCTCCTTAGAAATCCCGGTCCCTTGTGTAACAGCAGAGTGTGGGCACATGGGGCGTGTGTTGGAGAGTGCAGAGCAGCCTCTCAGTGACACTTCATCTCTGGCCAGGTACCTGGACAGTGTGACCAACAAGGACAGCACACTGCCCCCCATCCCGCACCTGCACTCCCTGCTCAGCGACGACCTGGAGCCCTACCCTGAGGTGGACATCTTCCGGCTCGTCAGGACCTCCTATGAGGTAGGCCAGGTGCCAAGCAAGCTCAGGTGGGGGAGCCCAGCACACAGCACCCTCTGACCTTCTAGAAGCCGCGTCATGCCAGCTGGCAGCCATGAGCTCCTGAGACAGACCCTCACTTGGGGCTGCCATTGCCACTCGCTCTTGTCCACAGGGCCTGGGCCCTCCAGGCCTTCATGGTGTCTCCCGGAAGCTGAATGGTGTGGCCAGTCCTCCAAGCCTGCATGCTGGAGGGGGTGCAGTGGGGAGCACTTTAGAGTGGTGACCTGACCACCCTGTCCCTGTTTTCAGGCCACAGTCCCGGGTGTTTTCAGAGGTAGGTGTTTCTCAAAGGTAGACCAGATGGCCCTTCTCAGAGGTAGACCAGATAGCTCTTCTCAGAGGTAGACCAGCTGGCCCTTCTTGGAGGTAGACCAGCTGGCCTTTCTTGGAGGTAGACCAGATGGCCCTTCTTAGAGGTAGACAAGATAGGCCTTCTCAAATGGAGACTGGATGGCCCTTCTCAGAGGTAGACTGGATATGCCTTCTCAGAGGTAAACTAGCTTGCCCTTCTCAGAGGTATACCAGATAGCCCTCCTTGAGCTAGACCAGATAACCTTCCTCTTCCATCCAGAACATGGGGAAAACCTTGTGTCAGCTTGAGAGAGCTAGAGTCCCTACAACACTGCTTGCTTTCTTGCCCAGTCTGACTCAGAGCAGAAGCAGACCTTCTAAGGCGGGAAAACTCCACATCAGTATTCCAAACCGGGATGTCTGTGGATCTGCAGGACTCAGCTCCCAGAACCCTTCACAGCTTCCATTTCCTTCGCTCAGGCCAGACTCACAGAAACGATCCTTAAAGAGGGGCAGAGCATACAGGCCAGGGTGTGACTTTGTTGGAACTTGTGTCTTGTCTGTGTCAGACCCCAGGCTTCATTCCCATCACCCTGAGCATCTCTGGGTGTGACCTCCTTGGCAATTGTGAAATAAAATAGTTAATTTTTTTAAATCTTATTATAACACTGTGTTTTTCCAAGTCGTTCATAGTACAATTATTTCTGGCTTTATCTGTACCACACCAATCCCACCGTCAGAGTGACTGTCTCTCCACCAATGTCTCCAGTTTCTCACCTACCCCCACCCCCCACCCAGCCTGCCCACCCTGCAGGTATAAACAGACTTGCTTCATATTGTTTATTATAGCACAAGGGCAAATGATCAAACCTGAGGTCAATAGTCATCAATCCGGGATCATTGTTCTAAGTCACGATGGTGTCACTAAAGTCATTGTTTGAGGATCTGCAGTGCTGGATGGTGCCGGCTAAGCCGTCTGTGTTGTTGTTCAGGCTCACTGAGCTTGGTGGCTTCTTTCCCATCCGATTTTCTGGGATCCTACTGGGTTGACTGCAAAATTTTAAAACCTTGGTCGGTAAAGTATTCCTGGGACCGGAATGTGTGTAGCTTGGTGGTAGGGCACTCACCTTGCATGTATACAGCCCAGGCTTCAATCCCTGCCTGGAACTACCCCAGTTTTTTTCCCTTGGAGCATTTTCCCCATACATAGGTGCCCTTCATAGTCTTTTTCTGCCCTTCTGCCCCCTCAACTGTTCTTTGGTGGAGGATCTATTTGACAGGGCCAGAGGATGGCACAGGGGGATTAAGATGCTACCCTGTGTACTCCCGACCCTGGTTTGATCCCTGGTGCCACCAATGGTCTCCTGAGCACTACCAGGGTCACTTCAGAACACAAGTCCAGGAATAGTTCCTGAACACCGTTCCTCCACCCCTGCCTCCACTACCAAAACCTGTGGAACTTTGCGATTTAGTTAAGCTACTAAAATACAATCCCTTTGTCAATCATAATTATTCATGAATGGCTTTAACATAAGTAAAAGTCGAAGAATGTTTCCGAAGGCCTGTCCTCCAAGTGGCAGCCGTGTGTCCTGCGGACATACCAAGTGCTGTGGCCCCTTTCTCAGAAGTGCCAATGTTTCTCCTTTCCAGAAATTTGGAACCATCCGGGCCGACCTGATTGAGCAGATGAGGTTCAAGCAGCGACTGAAGGTGATCCAGACGCTGGAGGACACCACCAAACGCAATGTGGTGAGTCAGGTTGGGGCTCAGCCTTGTGGCTGCTCTGCTCCCAGATGGGCCAGAGAAGCTGAAGCCAGGCCACAGGCAAGAAGCGGGCACATGCCCTACGTGCCACTTTGGAGCCAGCACAGTTCTTCCATGTTCATTTTTTTTTTATTTATGGACCTTCCGAGTGAGGCCAGGCTAGGCCCAAGGATGCGGCTCAGACCCCCCGCAGTGCTGGGGATGGGGGCTATGGCTGGGGGCGCTAGAGTGAAAGCAGGCTCAGGTGGTAAGCACTGCGTGTCCTTGCTCTAGGTGCGGACCATCGTGACAGAGACATCCTTCACCATCGATGAGCTGGAGGAGCTCTACGCTCTCTTCAAGGTGAGCTGCTGAGTCAGGGAGGGCCACTCCGGGGACCCAACATGCACCCTCGTGGACTGGTCAGTTCCTGAAGAGGGGCATTGGAGGCGTGGCATGGCGTCCGCTGAGAAACAGGCTCTCGGAGCTCACTCACGTTCACCCTTTCCATCACCCGTCTAAGCTGTTCCCTTGGACTTCAGGAGGAAATAGAACATCAAGTATCATTTCCTAATGCTTGTCAGAGTGACGGCCATCCGGGTTAAAATCTTCCCGGGACCCTTACATATCTGGCTTGAGGTGCAAAGCGCCCTTCGAGAGAGATCTGTGACTCAAGTAGGAAGGAAACAGTTCGGTTGTTGAAGGAGGGGCCGGAGTGGGGCTTGCCTGTTGTCCCTGCTTTGCAGTCAGCCTGTGTGAGCTCAGTTCTGAGTAACAAAATGTTGTTGTCAGTAACGTCAGTGAAACAGTGGAGCAGTTGTACTTTGGAAGAAAGTACGAGGGGGCCCAGAACTACTTTTTCTACCAAATTGGCAGGTGTTACCCTCAGTGGGGTGCCCCAGAGCTGTGGGGGTGTCAGAGGGAGATCTGAGAACTACACCTTTGGGTCCTCTTGCTGGGACTAGGCAGTGTCCAGAGGCCTTGATCCCGGGGAGCCCAGAGCTGTGCCCAGAACCCGCGCCACAGGCCCCCAAGCTTCTCCTGGTGGGACTGCGGCCAAGAGACAGCCCCCTCATGCTCCCGCTGTCCGGTTTCCAGGCCGAGCACTTGACCAGCTGCTACTGGGGCGGGGGCAGCACGGCCGTGGAGCGCCACGACCCCAGCCTGCCCTACCTGGAGCAGTACCGCATCGACTCGGAGCAGTTCAAGGCCATGTTCGCGCTGCTCTTCCCGTGGGCCTGCGGTACCCACTCGGACGTGCTGGCCGCCCGCCTCTTCCAGCTGCTGGACGAAAACGGAGACTCTCTGATCAACTTCAGGGAGTTCGTCGCTGGGCTAAGTAAGCACGAGAGGTTGGCAGAACAGAATCACAAAACTTAGATCGTGTGTGGTAAAAAGTGATTGCTTGGGGGCAAGCACCTGTCCTCTCTCGCCAGCCTGCAGCTGGGCTCTGAATCTCAGAGGCGGCACCCCGGGTTTGGGGGCAGCGCTCCCTCTCAGCAGCAAGTGTGCAAAGCAGACAGAGACCCGAAATGCAAACTCCTATGCACATTATATATATATATATATATATATATATATATATATATATATATTATGAGGAGCATGGGTCAGTCCTTCTATGTCATTCCCTGGCACAACAGGACAGATGGAGTCGTCTGATTTGGGGCTTTGTTGGAAGCAGCTGGTCTTGCTTGGATCGCTCCTTTCCAGTGAGGGGATGGTCGCTGTGAAGGCTGTGGTGACAGGACGGGCTGTCTGTGAGGGCCGCCATGAGAGCATGGCCTGTCTCTGAGGGTTGTGGTGACAGAATGGGCTGTAGCAAGGGCTGTGGTGACAGAATGGGCTGTAGTGAGGGCTATGGTGACAGGACCTGTGACAGTTGGGGCTGTGGTGACAGGACAGGCTGTCTCTGAGGTCTGTGGTGACAGGACAGGCTGTCTCTGAGGGCTGTGGTAACAGGATGGGCTGTAGTGAGGGCTATGGTGACAGGACCTGTAACCGGTAGGGCTGTGGTGACAGGACAGGCTGTCTCTGAGGGCTGTGGTAACAGGATGGGCTGTAGTGAGGGCTGTGGTGACAGGACCCGTGACTGTTAGGATTGTGGTGACAGGACAGGCTGTCTCTGAGGGCTGTGGTGACAGGATGGGCAGTAGTGAGAGCTGTGGTGATAGGAACTGTGACCATTAGGGCTATGGTGACAGGATGGGCTGTCTCTGAGGACTGTGGTGACAGAATGGGCTGTAGTGAGGGCTGTGATGATAGGACCTGTGACTGTTAGGACTGTGGTGACAAGACAGGCTGTCTCTGAGGGCTGCGGTGACAGGTTGGGCTGATAGCGAGGGCTTTAGTAATAGGACAAGCTGTCCATGAGGGCTGTGGTACCGAACATGCCACCACCCCAATCCCCTCAAATCCGCAGTGAATCAGGCTCAGGGGGCGCATCTGATCCTCCCTGGACTGGGGTTTTATTTCTGGTCATTCCTGTCATCTGGGGTTGTTGCAGGACTGGATTTGAACCTTCTGGAAAGGCTCCTCACACAGTGCCTGGCCCCGGAAGTGTTTGTTATAGTGGCCCATGTGGCCCCTTCACTCTCCGGCCATTTCACCTCATCAAGGGGCTGCTGTGGGATGTGTGGGGCCATGGAGTGGGCACTCCCCCACAGTGTCCTTCAGGCTGGTCTTTCTCTCTCATTCCCAGGCGCCGCCTGCCACGGGGACCTCACAGAGAAGCTCAAACTCCTGTACAAAATGCACGTCCTGCCCGGTGAGTGAGCGCCCGGGAGACTGGCCGTGCCGGGACATGGCCCCACCCCCTGGCCCACTGCACCCGGGGGGGATGGTTGCACCGGGCCTGGATCTGTCCCCAGGCTGTGGCACCAGCACACGTGGCCCTGGTCACAGAGAGGGGCAGAGACAGCAGGCGCTTGGGGGGGTGGGTGGAGCCAGACCCCCGGGGAACCTCCCTCCCCAAGACCAACCCCCGCCCTGTCACATGCTTGGCCATCTGGAGACGAGGTTCATGTCCACTGAAGCTTGCCCGTGCCCGGTCAGAGATGTCACTGTCCCCACAGAGCCCTCCTCGGATCCCGACGAGCCTGATTCCGCCTTCGAAGCCACGCAGTACTTCTTCGAGGACATCACCCCCGAGTGCACACATGGTGGGTGCAAGTTCTCATCCGCAAAGTGCTCCCGGGTTGCAGAGATGGGGCCGCGGGGCCTGGCGCACCCCTGGCTCATCACTCAGCATGGATGGGGGTGTGGCCCTGCACCCATGACAGGGCTATTTGGTATCATCCCCTTATGTCTTGTTTGCACACTGAGCCTGCTTCCAGAAGGATCCCAGGGCAGCCCTCCCAGAGAGAGAGGGGTGTTGGGCAGAGCAGGGCGGCTGCGGCAGAAGCCGTGTGTCAGAGTGAGTGTGTGGCCTGTGGTCCAGAGGCCAACCTGGATGACCAATGCCTACGGCCGTCTTCTGTCCTGAGAAACTCAGCATCGAGAAGGCCCTCGAAGAGCAACCTGTTGCATGCGGGCTGGAATGTTTTACTCGCAGTGTGAGGATGGTATTGTATGAAGCGATGTGACTTGAGCCGCTGTACCCACAAACCAAGTGTCTGTCTCCAACGTGGGTTCCGCTCGAGGTGCTGGGCTTTGTTGTGTGGCCATCGTGGGGTTTGGGGGCTCTGGGACTGCACCCACCAAGTTCTCCTTCCCGTTTGTTGCTCAGGGATCGGTCCTGAGGTGCTCTGGAAACTGTGTAGAGTCAGGGTTCGAACCTGGGCCTTGCACATGCAAAGTCTTCGGACACTCTCTCCAGCCCTGGGATTTTTGTTTGCTAAATCGGTGACTCGGTGCAAGCATTTTCCCGTTTGCAGCCACAGATGCTGGCCCCTGGGCATGTGACCTCTCTCCGTTCTCTTCCTCTGCAGTGGTCGGCCTAGAGAGCAGGAGCAAACACGGCATGGACGACGGCTTCGTGACCGTCAGCCTGAAGCCGGACAGAGGTGCTGTGCTCCCCCCGCACGCCTACTCTCGCGTCCTAGGACCAAGGCTTTCTTGACCTGAACGTTTATTCACTGACGTTTGTTTCTAGGGAAAAGAAGCAATACTCAAGAAAACCGGAATTATCTGCGACTGTGGGCTCCAGATAATAAATCAAAATCAAAGAACGCGAAAGATTTACCCAAGTTGAATCAGGTACGTGCTTAAGAATTTGGCTAGGGGTCTGGAGTGATAGTACAGCGGGGGAGAGCTTTTGCCTTGCACGCAGGCAAACCAGCTTTGATTCCCGGCATCCCATAGGGTCCCCTGAGCACAGAGCCAGGAATAACCCCTGAGCACAGAGCTAGGAGTAACCCCTGGGCACAGAGCTAGGAGTAGCCCCTGAGCACTCCATGTGTGACCTGCACAGCAAAAAGTATGTGTGCCTCATTGTGAGAAATAACCTCCTTAAGAAAATATGAGCCGCAAAATAGCTTATTTTGAAATAGAATGTCATTCTGATTAACACGGAAGCCCTCCGATCCTCAGAAGACAGTGTACTGTTTTCGGATCACTCACACCCTGTAAAGCTGTTAGTCTCTTTTCCCAGAGTTGGGGTGTAAGTGGCAAGCGTGTGAATCCAGCCCCCCAAGTGATAGGTTGTTTTTGCACTAAAAATGTTGTATGTTGGGGCCGCAAGAACAGGACAGCAGGCGGCACTATCCAGCCTGGGTGTCTGGTCCTTCAAACAACACAAGGAGCGACCCCTGAGCACAGTTTCTGGAGTCAGCCCTAACACTTCCAGGCGTGACTTCCCCCAAACCTGACAAACAAATAAAACAAAGCAACGCCTGTTTCTAAGAGGGCGACAGCCAGGTGGCAGGGGGCCTTCGTGGCGGAAGCATCCCTAGCCCCGGCACGGGGTCCCTGTGTTCCGGACAGGGAAGGGAGCAAACTCAGACCGTTGTGTTGGAAGAGGCTGAGCTCCGGGCCCTGCCCAGATGCGCGGTCCCCAATGCTTTTCTGGACTTGAGCAGGTTTCCAGTCCAGAGCCTGGGGCACCTCCCCTGGACTGCCCACGGTCACCCTTGTCACCCCTGCCCTCTCGCCCTTGCTCAGGGCCAGTTCATCGAGCTGTGCAAGACCATGTACAACCTGTTCAGCGAAGACCCCAATGAGCAGGAGCTCTACCACGCCACGGCCGCCGTGACGAGCCTGCTGCTGGAGATCGGTGAGGTGGGCAAGCTCTTCGCCAGCCAGCCGGGGGCACAGGGCGGCAGCGCTGGGGCCCCCCAGGGCCTGCCAGGGGCCATGCTGTTCCCCAAGAAGCCCACAGCGGCAGCAGCGGCAGCAGCAGCAACGGGGGCGGCAGCTGAGCCGGGCCTGGCGGGCGAGGCCGAGGAGAGCTCCCTGGGGGCCCAGATGGAGGACATCAAGCTGGAGGACTGCTCGCCCCGGGACCACGGCGCCGGCTCGGCCATGCTCATCTCGGACGATGACACCAAGGACGACAGCTCCATGTCGTCCTACTCGGTGCTGAGCGCCGGCTCCCACGAGGAGGACAAGCTACAGTGCGAGGACATCGGGGAGGACACGGTGCTGGTGCGCAGCGGCCAGGGCCCCGCCGGGCTACCCCGGAGCACCAGCCTTGACCGTGACTGGGCCATCACCTTCGAGCAGTTCCTGGCCTCGCTGCTCACGGAGCCCGCCCTGGTGCGCTACTTCGACAAGCCCGTGTGCCTGATGGCCCGCGTGAGCAGCGCCCGGAGTAGCCGCCTGCTGGGCCGGGCACCCGGCTCGGCCAGCGACTTCGACCTGGCCGCGCTGTCGGGCTGAGTCTGCCCCCGCCGGCCCCTCCCTCTCGGCCCGGATCAGGACCCGGCCTGAGCCCGGTGTGTTTCCCAACAGGATGCGACGACAACCACCCACGTGAACCCCCCCACCTCTCGGCGGGTCCCCGCCACCCTCGGCCCCTCCCCCGGCGGGTGGGGAGGAGAAGGACCTAGACACAGTTCACCCCCCACACACCAAATTATTTAAGGGGATCCCCTCGCTGTTCAATGGATGCGAAGGCCAGGCCGCAGCCCCGGTGCGCTGGGGCCCGTCCGTCCCAGTGGAGGCCAGAGGGAAGGATGTCACGAGGCCAGAACGTTCCAGAAAGGCAGAGGGCGGCAGTCGGGGGTGGGGTGGGGGATGCCTGTGCCACTTTTTTAGAAGCATTAAAAATGGGGTTTTTTTTTTGGTTTTAATATTGGAAATAATGTTCCTCCAAAGTCCTGTGTCTGCAGATGGTAGCCAAGAGACGCTTGTCTCCGCAGGGTGACAGTGTCCCAGGCTCTGAAGGAGGGAAGTTCAAGTTTCTTGTGCAGTGCCCCAAATTCAAAGCTCGTCTGCGTCCCAGGGATGGTCCCTGTGCATCAGCATCTGCGTGCACGGCCACAGCATCTCTCCTCAGAGGAGCTGGACATGGGGGCCTCCGGGCAGAGGGCTCTGGATTTGGCCATTTGGGTTTCTTTTTTTTTTTTTTTTTAAAAAAGCAGTGAAAGTACCGATGCTTACAAATACGGGGTTTTTCAGCTTCCTGTGACTCACGGCAAATCAAGCAAAAAAAAAAAAAAGAAAAGAAAAGCAGCGAACTGTCCCATTTCCATACTCTCCATAGGCCGCAGCCTCCCCTGACCATCATGCCACTTAGATCCATGTACAATAGAGGTCATGTAAAAAAATTACAGAAATCCCTGCAAGGTAACGCACCCGGGTGTTTCTCCGGCAGAACTGTCCCTTTCTGTCACGGCTCGGGCGCACCGTCCCGGTGGAGGTGGCAAAGGGCGCTAGTACCGCACCTGCACTTTGAATTCTCGCTTCTTTTCTCTCTTTTTCTCTTTCTCATCCGCATCACGGTTTTGTTTTTCCTGGATGTTGGAGGTTCCCCCTGCCCCCCTCGTCCCCGGCTGGATGCGTCCTTGCCACCGTCCCCTTCCTTCTCTGCTTCTCCGGGATCCGCTCTCCAACACGGTCCTTCGTTTCTGTGGCCACGTGCCCCTGTTTTCAGCTGTTGCTGCTGGTACTTTTTAAATTTTGTTTACAGAATGATTTTTAAACTGTCCGATGAAGTAGTGTTAACCTCAGATAGGATAAATGTGAACGAATAAAATCCATCAACTACTCCACGGCGGCTTCTTGGATCTGTGTGGCTCGTGTTTCCGCCCACGGCGGTGACGTCCTTCCGGCAACGTGCAGGGGAACGAGATGATGGAAAACTGACCGAGCACACACAGTTCGTGGGCAAATATCTCGATAAAGGAATAAAACACACAGTGGCATGCATATGGATGAGTATATTACCAATAAGAATTTTTACCAGTGATCTGGGTTATTGTACTTATCCTTGATCACTTGACTTCCCGTTAATCGTCGATTTGCTCGAGCGGGCGCCAGTAATGTCTCCATTTGTCCCTCTCGCGTGCTAGTGTAGCCCAATGGCGTCTGTTCGCTCGGGGAACATGAAGAGCCTCAAACCGATCATTTATGATCTTGACGAAGAAGTCTGACCATCTGGTAGGTGGGCGGCCACGCAGTCTTTTGACATCCCGTGGGATCCAGTCGGTAACAGCTCTAGACCAGCGGTCGTCTCCAAATCTCATTACGTGACCAGCCCATCTGGTTTTTGACACCTTGGCAAACGAGAAAGCATCTCTACTTATCCTAGGGCTGTAAATCTCTGTCCCATTCTCACAAGTACATGGGCACAGTTTACATAGAGAAATGATATTCCTCTATGTCATATATGTATATGTGTGTGTGTGTGTGTGTGTGTGTGTGTGTGTGTGTGTGTAAGCAGCTTTTTTGGGTTTGTTTTTGTTTGGCGGCCATACCTGCTCAGTGCTGACTCAAGGCAAGCTCAGGAGACTGTGTGGGATGAAGGGGATTGAACCCTGGGTTGGCTGCATGCAAGGCAAGTGCCTTATCCACTGTACTATCCTCATGAGGAAGAGGCTTGTGCTGGAATGTGGAGCCTATGAACAGGAATTGCTGGAAGTTTCCATTAAGGCAGGGAATGGGGCAGGGTGAACACTGCCCAAGGGACACTGGCTGCTCCTTCCTGCCCTCCCCAGGGCTCTGCTATCAAACCCAAGTTTGGGGCATAAGATCAGTTTCTGTCCTGCTGACTTCTCAGGCCAGGGAGGGAGGGAGAGAGGGAGGGAAAGGAGGAAGGGAGGCAGGCAGGTCAGCCACTGAATGAATGAGCTGGGTCCCATAGGGCCCCTCGATCTCTACCTCGTGCATATGGTTCCCAAGCACCCCAAAAAGCAATCCCTGAGGACAGAGCCTGAGTAGCCTGAGTACTGTGCAATGCAGCTTGTCCTCCTCCCTAGTCAAAAGGTTCTAGGGCAGGGGCTGGAGCCATAGCACAGCGGGTAAGGTGTCTGCCTCACACGTAGCGGACCTGGGTTCGATTCCCAGCATCCCATATGGTCCCCCGAGCACCGCCAGGAGTAATTCCTGAGTGTATGAGCCAGGAATACCCCTTTGCATCGCCAAGTGTGACCCAAAAACAAAAACAAAACTAAAAAAAAGAAGTTCTAGGGCAGCCGGGCAGCCGTTCTGAGTGGCAGCTGAGGGAGGCCATGGCCAGGGGCTAGTGGGGGGTGGGGGGACTGACATTTCAAAGACTGAGCGGAGGAGCCTTTCCTAGTCATTAAAAAAGATGTTTGGGCTGGAGAAACAGTGCCTCACACACGGCAGGCCCGGGTGGGCTCCCTCTAGGTGTGGCCCCCAAACTGCCCCCAACAAATGATAAAACGTGAAAGCATTCTTTGAATCAAGACTCCGAGGTGGGCGGCAGGGCAGCACGAGGCACACGGCTGGAGGCTTGTCTGTTGGACAAGGTGACCCCAACTCCTGGGGGACAGGAAACAGTGCTGGAAGACCCCCAGTCTTCTGGTCGGATCCAACCGGTCAGTAGGGGTATCACACCCCATGCCTCTTCCACTTGCTCGTGGCCACTCGAGCAAGTGCAGCCCAAGACACCTGTGCTTCCCCCACCCCCCACCCAAGTGCCCCCACACCCCACCCCAGGGCCCACACCCTGAGGACGCCTATTCTGATGCCTGTTCTCCAGCCCCCAGACACCCACACCCCCAGACCCCTCTTCTCCCCCTGCACACGTGACTGTGCGCTCATTGGCTACTCCTCACTCAGAGCCCTGGACCCACCCACCTTCCCTTCTCCCCCATATGCAGGAGTTTCCTGGAGCCCCCCACCCCACCCCCAGCCCCCGGGTGGGCAGAATATTGGATCACCCAAACCCTACTCGGCCCCGGTCACAACCCCACTTCCTCTCTTTGAAGCTTCCCTTGTAGCTGGGGTCCTCCTGCCAGAGTGCAGTGCTGGTCAGCAGACTCAGTCCCACCCACCAGCTGTCTCCCAGAGAGGAAGCCCCTCATGAAGCCCCCCCTTATCTGCCTGCCATTCACCCTGCCGCCATCTCGGAGCCAATGTCTGCGTCTTTCATCTCTTTCTCTCTTATCTTCACCCCCTTCACAATGGACTGCGTGGCCTCCACTGGGGAAAACACCCATTGGACCCCTTGACTCTTAGACACACGCGGGTGTATCACAGTCAAACAGCCCGGAATAAATGGTCTCAACTTGGCGCTTTCATTTCTTCACTTCCAGTCTAACCTGGGCCCCTCTCTGCACGTCTTCCAGATTCGCCCATGCTCTAAAGTAATTCCTGATGCTTTGATGATTTCCCAAATGCAGAGTCCAAGGAACCCCTTTGGATTCTAACCTACTTCCTCTTCCAGGAATACTTGGATCTTTTAATATTTCCTTATAGATCCTGACTCGACCCACCATCACACCAAACTCCCAAGCACTTCCAGGAGTAAGCCCTCAACACAGCCATGTGTGGCCTCCGCCCGCCCCTCTGTCTCCAAAAGAACGACAAAAATATGTCCCCAAATGATCATTTAAGCTGGAAAAAAAAAAGAAGTACTGTAGCACTGTAGCACAGTCCTGTTGTTCATCGATTTGCTCAAATGGGCACCAGTAACATCTCCATTGTGAGGCTTGTTGTTACTGTTTTGGGCATATCTAATACACCACAGGAAGCTTGCCAGGCTCTCCAAGAGGGACGGAGGAATCGAACCCAGGTCGGCCGCATGCAAGGCAAACGCCTTACCCACTGGGGGTGGGGAAAAAAACATTGAAAAAAGTGGCACTGTGGTTCTGTAGCACTGTCATCCCATTGTTCATCAATTTGCTTGAGTGGGCACCAGTAGTGTCTCCATTCATCCCTGTCATGTGCTAGTGTAGCCCAGTGGTGTCTGCTCACTCCAGGAACACGAAGTGAGACTTGTTGTTACTGCTTTTGGCATATCAAATATGCCACGAGTAGCTTGCCAGGCTCTGCCGTGCGGGTAGGATACTCTCGATTAGCTTGCCGGGCTCTCTGAGAGGGATGGAGGAATCGAACCCAGGTTGGCCGTGTGCAAGGCAAACAACGCCCTACCTGCTGTATGATTGCTCCAGCCCATTTAAAAAAGTAGTCTCTGAAAAGCCCCAAATCTTCTGTGGTTGGGTGCTGGGTGGTTATTTATCAGCAGCTCATTTCCTAAAATGCTCCATGGCCAAGGGAGAAGTAAAATCCGTCCTAGGGTAGAGTGAACCTGGGCTTCCTCACCTCTCAGGAAACATCTGCAACATACAAAGTTACACGCTCCGTGCAAGGGGTGAGATGAGGTAGAGGAATGAGGGATGAACTCGCTTCATCTCGGGTGGATGCAGGAATGTGAGACTTCCTTTGGAACCTTGCCGACTCCAGCCCTGACGCTGGAAAGATCCGGGAG